GCAAGACGTGTTTCCACCCATTTGTTGGAGCAACAACACATCCCTCCCCCTTGCAGGGCCCAGTGCTGCCTGCCAACAGCACCAGATGCAGGTTCCTCTACCTGCCGCTGCACGCCATCAATGGCAGATTCAGGGTCCTTCAAGTCTGCTTCACAAAGTAACACTCTAAATCTTGTACAACACAAAGCAGGGCTCAGGGTACTGTGACCTCTAGATAACTACCTCCACATAAATTATTTAACGTTGTCTTACCTATTTCATCCAGCAATGAGATTTAAGGCACCAAATGCTAGTCTGCTTGTTCTGACAGCAAAGGCACCTCAGTTCCTCCAAGGCAGGACACTCCCCTTGAGACAAGAATTTGGTCCACAACATATGGAGAAACAATGGCAGTTGTAGGCTCAAAACTGCACCAGACTTGGCAGGTGCAGGGCAGCCCTATCACTGCAGTAATGATCCAAATACAAAAACCCTCCCCATACCACCCACTCCCTGTGATGCGTGCAACTGGTGACTGAGTATACACAAGGGACACAACACTGACTAGGTTGCATGGTTTATTGAAGTATTTACACACCTGTGCCCCAGCTCTCCTCTTTCCCATACTGACAGTAAAAGCTTATGTGCATCACCATTAAACACCTCTTTCCCAGACCTATTTTACCTTCTCCTCCCTATCAAGACTCAGAAAAAATTCTATGGTGTTTGTGGGCAGAAAGCGGTATGGGAGAATCCAGAGGTATGGAGCGAGTGAGGAGCCGACCCACCAAATCAGTAAGCGCCCTCTGAGTCCATGCTCATTTTCCCATGTGCTAAAGCTAAAGAGTTTCAGAGTAGCAGTCCATGTTCCAGCTGCCTCTCCGACGGCCCAGCAGAGCACTGGGGAATCCTCCAGGCAGCACAAGAGCCCCTTAACTTTTTATAGCTGTGTCTCGGGACTTGTAAGCCACGCCACGGCTCTTCAGCTCTCGGACGATCCCTGCAGCAAGGAGACAAACACATTTCAGCATTCTCCAGGAATGAAAGGGAGCCCTAAAAAAGCCTAGTATTTCTATCCATCCATTTAGACACCTAGAACTGTATCTCACATCTACAGTGGCCAAATGCAGACACTTTCACACAGTATAGCTGAAAGACAGGAAAATGTTCTCCCTCAGCCTTTAGAATAGGGCCAATCACTCTGTGTATCTTAAATCATGTCTTCTCACCTCCAGTAAGACCAGCTCATTTCACCTAGTTACTATGCAGAGGCATTCCCTGATGGAGGCTGCAAGTCCATTGTGGATGCTATCTTTCATCTGTAGTGATCAAGAGCTGGGCAATCTTCTTAGTTTCTTCTAACAGTGTATCAATTTCACTGTTAAGAGCGTTCCTTCTTCCAGTTTAAATACCTGCCTTCACCTCCCAAATATCAACTGCTTTTTGCTTCAGGAATGAGCTGAGTAGAGATTTCATTTACATTATTTTGTTCCTGAAGTTGTTTGACTATTATGACAGTACTGAATTGGTCAACCTCTTAAGGTTATTTTCTTAAACCTTTCAGTCACTTCTGTGACTTGTCTGCCTGGCCCACTTTCTTAGTAACCCCTTAAGAAAAGTGATACCAGGAGAGCACCATGCAGTTCAGTATGGCTTTCACCAGTGCCACACAGCAAGGGACAGTCAAACGATAGCTTGCAAGTGCCATGAGTGCAGCTTGCTGATTACTGCACTCCTCAGTCCTCTCTAACCTCTCCACGAGATGGAGGAAGCCCCACACAATTGAGCGAGGCCAACACCAGCATCTCCCATATGCACCTCCCGCCTGCTGCCCTGCACACCCCGCGCGCTCCATTTGCAGCTGTATCTAGTACATGCTGTCATCTGTTGCGCTCTAGTTATTTCAGATATGTCCAAAGCAGTGCCAGCAGGCCGTGACTTCAAGGCTCACCATGATGCTCCAGCTCCTTCCTGATACAGATGGTAGAACTCAGGTCAGAAATAAGGGGCCTGGGATTCCAGACACACATACACCTTGTACACTGGGAATATAGGATTGGAGCACTCAGGAAGGGGCACGAGGTTAGGATTCTGCTCTGGGCTTATGTACAGGGCAGTGAGAAGCTTTGGCTGTTGGCCACGTGAAAGGTACACATTGCTGCCACAGAGGTAGTAGTGTCAACTCTCAACACCCTCCACTCCATTTATAAATGAACAAAACCCACCTCAGCTCAACTGAAGCCCTCAGTACTATGAGGTAAAGGGTTATTTGCTCACCAAGATCTCCAGTCCTGAAGATTACTTTTTATAACAGCACCCCTTTTCTGCAGAATTAATTCTACGTACAAACCTTTGTGTTTCCCTTGAAACACCTTGAAACGTGTCCACTTTCTGGGGTCACCCTTTTGTCACAGTTTACTACTCTGATGATCTTTCCGAAATCCACAGGTTTTATTCAGCAGTGTTTTCATCTTAACTTCTAAATGACAGGTAGAACACTGAACGATTGCAAGTGGAATACCTGCCTGCAGAACACCTGCAACTATCCTTCCAGTTTAACATCTCCTCAGCAATTACTTCGCTCATCTCTTCATCCACATGGCACATACTCTCTTCATAGCAAAGAGTGTTCACTTCAATTAGAACGTGTGCAGTAACAACCAACTGACTCCCAAAATCCTAATTATATCACACAGGTACAGTGCGATACATAATAAAGTTTGTCATCTCAGAGACAGTAACTGGCTAGAGCCCCAATGCCTAATACACAAAATAATCCCTTAGCTGTCATCTGTGGGGAAGTCGCTCCTTACTCATGCCAACAACATTACCTTGGGGCAGGCGGCCAGTCACGGACACTGCGTACACACCAGGCTTGAAATTACCTGGAGGAAAGAATACACTGAGTTACTCTGCACAGCAGCAGCCAGGTGGGCAAACAACCCTGCCAGCCACAGCTTGCACAGATGCCCCCTCATCCAGCATAGCAGCCAGAAACCCCCTCAGCAGCCCCAACAACCGCTCCTACAACCTCAGAGAAGGGTTTTCTACAGAAAAGGCAGCTCCAGCCCAAACCAGTCAGGAGAAAAACTCACTGATTCGCTGCCACTTGGAGACCCAGCTGTCCTCAGGGCTCATCATCGCAATGATCCTGCAGGAGAGATGGAGGTGAGGGGACTTTTCCAGGCCAAGTGACACCGCGGTGCCAACACAGCATCAGGACCACAGAGACCCCCGGCAGCCCAGTGGATACGTGCTGCCGGCGGCAGGGCCCGGGGGCTCGCCTTCGCTCACCCGTCGAAGGAGGAGCTGGTGCAGTCGTAGACCATCTCGCGGTTGCCCTTCATCTGCAGGTAGGCATCGCAGTTATCGCACCCATCGTACTCGAACTGGTCGATGGTCTGCGGGGGACAGAGGCATCCGAGCTGAGGCAAGGCGGCCCTGGGGCAGGCCATGGAGAGGCGCGGGACAGGTCTGGCGTG